ATACCCAAACAACAACAAAACAAAAGGCTTTGAACTACTGCTCGTGACAAGTAATGCCTCAAATTAATGACTGGTAATATAATGTCAAAGTTTACATGATAATTCCTGCAAAAACTAGCTCTCACTACACAAACACAATGAAATAAATTACAGAAATAATTGAAAAATCTAAAGCAACGGATCTGATTATAAGACAAGTACCTGATTAGATTTTTCGAGGTAATGCAAGGAGCTTTGATGGCAGCACCGATTAAATTACTCCCCGTTATATATATTCCCCTAACAATTTCCAAAAACTCAAAATAATCAGGCCGAAAAAAAAAGGAAAAATACAGAGCACGAGTACGAGTACGAGGAAATACGATACCAGACGGCGCCGAAGACGGAGACGCCGATGGATATGGCGATTCCGATGGCGGAGAAGGTGTACGGAGAGATCAGAACCAGAGCTTGTCCCATGAGGCGTATGACATCATCATCGTAGTGTCCAAAAACTTCTTAAACCGCCAAATTTCTCTCTCTCTACCTCTTGTTGAGATCGGAAGAGAGAACAGATTTTCTCTGATCGAATTAATTCGATCGTGGGAGTATGATACTGCCAGACTAAAAAGACGTGTCATTTAATAAATTATTAAAAAATAAACAAAAATTTAAAAACCGCCTCACCGGTTACAAAATTAAATAATTAAAAAATTGTAAAATGGGTATATATGTAAATGAAATGGAGTATAATTGTCTCAATAGAGAGCAAGGCTTTTAATGTAAAATATGTAGGGAGAAAGTCAGGGGGCGTCATTATTTCCTACACATATATAATTGCTGGCAAAATTAATTAATTTTTATTATGGCCAAATGACGTCATAAATTTTTCATCATTAATCTGATTTTTTTCCTTTTATTTTATTCAATTTCATTTAGTAACGTTTTCCGCCCATTTTTTAGCTACTGATGGTGGAAAATCGTTACACTTATTTTAATAAGTATAATTATATATTTTTAATATTGTATTATATAATAGTTAATATTAATACTAATTAATAATAATAATTAATATTTTGTAATTATTATAAATAAATGTAATAATAATAACAATAACAATAATAAAAATAATAATAAATTTTCAACTAAATTATATGGATAAGATCTCTCAAAAATTAAAATTACATTATCCTCAAACTTTTTTCAATCAATACAATAAGTCATATATGCTCAAATAATTTATATTTATATTGTTTTATTTTTAGTAATGATTAGATTTTGAAAATGTGATATTTCCACTATCTACTTTATAACTTAATATAAGATTTACAAATACACCTTATAATATTCTATTCACATACGTGCATATATATAGGATGATTACTAGTTTGGAGTGGAATTGTTATTGTATTATAAATGTTTTAAGACAAAACGAGTTATATCTCTCCAAAAAAACTTAAATCTCATTTCATAACAATAAATTGAAAGGGTTATGCTGCCTCCATTACACTTGGTTGTAAACCAAGTCGTAATGGAGGTTGGCTAAGTAGCATAATTCAAATTGAAATCATAATTATAACTATAAAACTAGTGTGAGGTATGTTTGACGGTTGGTTAGCTATACTTTTCAGTAAATATGTACACTTTTATGCATAATGTGACATACTATAATGATATATAACTAAAAAAACTAATATATATCACTACAAAAAAACACTACAATTCCAACGAAAAATTCCAACGGCAAAAATTTCCGTCGGAAATTTCAATGAATATTCCAACAAACTTAATTTTATGTTGGAATAAGTGTTGGATAGTTGAGGAATTCCAACGGATTTTTTCCGTTGGAATAGCTGTATGAATTTATTTCCATAGGATTTTTCGTTGGATATTTGTTATTCCAACGGCCGTTTTTCCAACGGATTTTTATACGTAGGGATATCCGTTGGAATAGCTATTCCAACAGAAATATAAAAAATTCTAACAGAAAATTTTCCGTTGGAATGTAAGAGTTTTTTTTTGTAGTGTATGACATTTCTAATTGTAAATGTGATTTTTTATTTAAAAAGTATGATGTTGATCAAGTTAACCGTTACAATGGCCCGCTCAATAATTTTTACAGTTGTAAAACACTATCTCGTGCAATTTAATTTGACACGAAATTAACATACATGTTATTAAAGCATTACAACCACTTTTATAGGTTATTGAGGTTGTATTTGGTGAGCATATAAGTTAGTTTATATTGTGTTTGACAAGCATATAATCTAGCTTATAGTTTATTTGATTAACTAATAAGTTTCATTTATTCAAATAAACTTAATAGTTTGGTAGAAAAACTTAAAAAAAAAAAACTTTAAGATTAACTTATAAGTTTTCGTGGGTAGATTTTTAAATAAGTTCATTGAAATTTTTATCTTATCAACTAATTTCACCAAACACTTTTATCATATAAGCTAGTTTTTCAGCCATAAGTCATAAGTTATCAACAATAAGCTCAAAATTCATTTGAAAGTTACAAACTAACTTATCAGATAGGTTTACCAAACATAGCCTATAACTTATTGATTAGCATATAAGATTCTTGTATTCAAATAAATAGTTTGGTTTGGTAGACGAACTTTTTTAAAAAGCTCAAGTTTATCTCATAAGTTTTTTTTGGGTAGTTTCTCAAACTCATGATTTTTTTTTTTAGGTAACTTATCAACTAAGTTTACTAAACACTATTATCATATCATATAAGTTAGTTGTCATAAGCTTTGAGCAATTAGCTCGAAATTCACTTAAAATTATAACCTAACTTGTCAGTTATGTTTACCAAACATAGTTTGATAACCACGATAACAATATGTAAATATTTGTATATTTAATATATCCATCACACACTATTTATATAATGTTAAATGGGTCAATGCCAATGTTTAAAGACTCGATATTTAATATCATCATCCGTGAATTGTTGGGCACCGAGGCTATAGAAATATATCTGCTTATAATAGTTTAGACTCAATAGTTTTTTTAGTTAACTATTGCTAATTTTAAAAAATTAGTATGATTAGTTGTTAGTGTGATTTTGAATTTATACCAAAATTATCCTCTATGTATATAATTCCCGAATGCGCTGAGCCTACGTGTCTGCTTCTGGTGCTTCGGAATCCTATCTGGCGAAAAATCATGCTTCGTAATTAGGTTTGGATAAATAATATTAATATATTAATAATTAATAATCTAGGTTCGGGTATTCCATAAATATTATTTAGCTAACTTAGGTATTTTAATATCACTTTTACTAATATGACCTTTAATTTTTTGTAATTTTACACAGTGAGGTACTAAGTGCCTAATATATCCCTGAATTTTGATTTGTTTCCTTCAATAAGCTATTGAATTATAAATGTATTTTAAAAATTGATAACTTTCGTATTTCTTATCGATTTTACATATATAATATATCAAATTAATCATCTTTTGATGATCTTCGATTTGACATCCATATTGTATATTGTTAACGAGCGTTTTCGGTCAACGGTTAAGAATAAAGAATATCGAAAACAAGACCGGAAAAAAGGGGAATGACTTGATTTAATTATGATTTTATTAGACGATCACGAGGTCGGCCTCTCGTACGAGGTCGGCACTTGCGATATACTTACAATTCTTACAGTGAGTTTCTTACAGTTCTTAGAGTGAGAAAATAGAGAGAAGGCAGAGTTAGTTGGGATTCAACAACCTAAAATAAATGAGGTGAGCTTCTATTTATAGTGGTCTTTAATGTGTCACTATTCAGCCACTGTTCACCGGTCTTGTCGCACAGTAATTTGACAGGGCAGTTCGGCGTCCGTCTGATGGTCATTTAATGCGATTTGAGGTTTCTTCAATCATTGCCTGACGGGCATTAAATACCAGCATGGGGGGCATTTAATGCTGGATGGCTTTGCTGACTTAGGCTGACTGGTAGGGGGCTAGGCCATGATTACCTGTCCCATCGTCCAATGATGACCTCCCAAGTGGGAGTATTTTAATGTTTATTGAGACCCCTGCGTCGTCCCTGGTCGGCCTCCTCATACTTCCAGGTCGGCACTTCGTTCGTAGATGTTCTTTAGACTACGAATAGTCTCCTTCCTGTCCGGCACCCATCCAGGTCGGCATCTCCTCGGTCTAAGTCGGGCGCCGGGCTGAGGATCTGTTCCCTGGGCGGTTTCCCGCCCCTCTAATTCGCGGTCCAGCTCGGCACTTTCTCATCAGACCGGGTTCTTGTTTCGATCCGGAGGGGCTGAGTATCCGATCCGGCCCGGACCGAATCGGATGTCAACATATATATGAAATAAATAAATTATATTTATCTTTATAATAATAAAAAATAATAATATTTATTAAAATTCATTAGAAAATAAAATTATTTCTTAATTGATATATTTATATATAATGTAGTTATATATTGTAAATTAAAAAAATTAGTATAATATAACACAAGTAAGTTGCACAAATAAAAAGTGTCATAATAAATATATAATAATATATATAATCTTATAAAAGGTATGTAAATTTTCAAATTACTTTTTCTCATTAATTTTAGATTTTAAGAAAAAAATTAGCAAGCACCCGTGTCGGGTGTTGTACTAGTATTTAAAATAAAATATTTAAAGTTGATTTGATATAAAAATAAGAGAGAGATGATATGGAGTGATAATTAGTTAAAATTACGTTAGTGAATGAGTAGTGAATTGATGTTGATGTGATATATAAAAATTATTGATTGATATTATTTAATTATATTAATAATATCTAATCACGCCCGAAGGATCGTGTCTCAAACTGCTTGGGTTGGCCCAAATCTGAACAGTGGCCTACTTATTTGGGCCTTAAACTGAAACACCGAAAAGTAACGTGCCCAACGTGCAGTGTCTCATATGAAGAAGAGTGGCTCCAAAAATTTCTGCGTAAATGCCGACGCGCTTTTTATCACACACCCACAGGCGCACGTTAGCGCCGCCCCCTTTACTAAAATCACACCAACCCGTTTTCGTATCTGTATCTCTTCCCCATTATCACAAATTCACGCACAGCCTCTCTTTCACCCCAAATTCTTCACTGACCGATTAGGGTTAGGGTTTAGACGCACCAAACTTCATAGTCGCTCGTATTTGGCGCAATTGATTTTGTAGCGGGATACACGCATAAATTTGCAGTAGGACATTAGGGTTTTCGGTACTTGATTTGATTTGATCTTTCAATGCCTGGGATATTTTGCCTGGTGTAGTGGCTTTATGGCGCCGAGCCGAAGAAAGGGCGTCAACAGGGCGGCGGCGGTGGCCGCCGCAAGGCAGAAGTGGAAGGTCGGGGATCTTGTGCTTGCCAAAGTCAAGGGATTTCCGGCGTGGCCTGCAACTGTATGTCTTTTGTGCCAATTGGTTATTATTTCTCGCCTTTTTGTTTAATCTGTTTACTTGGGACTTGGGAGTCCTTGCATGTGCATTGTTTAGCATCCGTTAATTAAACCTTATTGTGTGCTCGTTTTATTGTTTATTGGGTTGTTCGATTGGGTTTTCTATGCACTTATATGCTGGATCTGGTCCGAGAGTTGTAGTTTTGACTTGAGAGTTGATGTCTTGGATAATGCTTATTGGTGTTAGTGAAATGATTATAGAGTTTTGCTTTGAAGAAGAAACTGGGGGTCAATTTTGCAGGCTGGTGTATGAATCTTAGTAAATATGTGAGCAAGTTGACTAGCTTGCAAAACTAGTACAGTTTGACAAGTTCCAAGTCCAATGTAGATAGGCTGCTGTCCAATTCTTGGCTCCCTATTCCTAATAGTTATTAGAAACATTCATCTCGATCATCTTTTTGAAATGGATTTCATATACTCCGGTAAGAACTTAAATACATCCATGTTTGTACTTTCACCATCTCCATGTTGTCATTTTACTGGTATTTGTTGTTACATATGTTACAACTCTGTCCGTGAAGTGGAATTTGTTGGCAGTTGAAACTCTGTCCTATCATCCATATCAGCCTCTAATCTATGCTCATGTTGCGCAACTGTTACCATTTTTAGCACCATCTTGACCATTGAAAAAATGGTTTATTCTTATTCGTAAACGAGGTAAAGTGACTGTAATCACAAGAATATGGCACGTGGTATAGAAAAGAACAATACGAATTAGGATGTTCCTTTTTTTTTCCTTAATTAAACAAAATTATTTATGGTTGTTGTTGTGTTTTTTTAATTTTTATATGAATTGTTTTCAGAATCCATCCTCACCGTCTGAGTCAGAAAGAAGTGCAGAAGTAGAGAGCTTAGATAGACTCTTTGAATTTTGGACTGTTTATAACACCATCGCCTTTGGAGAAAAATGGCACTACATGAGCAAGTTCAAATGAAATCATACCTACACAAAAATAAAAATTTTGACCTTTTCTAGGCCAATTTAGTTATATAGAATATTTTTGCTGTCCAGAGACTGATTGGCCCTTTAGTTACATTGCTTTTCTAAGAATTGCCTGGCAGAACCACAAAATGGTGTGAAATATTGATCTAGTTTTTCATTGATTGAAGTTGTTACATGGTTCACTTCTCGTCTTTAGTACATGAAATTTGATAGCAGGTTTCAGTAGGTTGTAGGAAGATGTGAGGTGAGGTGATGTATGGTTCACAAGAGTTGAACTAGAATGGAGAGATGAGTATTATTACTCAATTGCAAGCCCTTCTTCCAGAGCCCCAAAGGAATGACCTAATGGCGTCATTATGTTGTGTTCCATAAACCCGCCCCTCAAACTGTTTAAGATCGAGTCATGGAATTTCTCCTTCCCTTGTAACTTTGACTTAGCTGATTTCATCTCTTAACATTTATAAGGTGATGTTAGAAGGATCTGTGGTTGTTTGCAAATTTGGCTGGGTGAAGATGTTGATACCAGGGTGTATTGCCGCCTCCTTGTGAAATATGAGCATGAGACCTAATCTGTAATAAAACTTGCATTAGTGTCCTAACCTTAAAAGCCTGTTGGGATTTGGCAGTGGATGGTTGTTTACTTTATTTATTTTGTTTTGTAACTCGAAAGTTTAGTAACACTCTTGTTTTCACATGTCAGGTGAGCGAGCCAGGAAAGTGGGGTTACCCGGCTGATCAGAAGAAAATAGTGGTCCAATTTTTTGGGGGCGAACAAATGTGAGTACTAATGTTTCTCAAGTTAACACTATTATTTAGATTAAGCTTATCCTTTCTTTGTGGTTAAGTTTTTCATGGAACTGATCATCCCATTTTGATACTATAATAATTAGACAAGCATTTATTAATGATATTGTGTTTTTTCCGCTGCATGTTTTAGAATCTTATGCCTGGTGTATTCCTTAGGTTCTGTCATTGGTCCCATGCTTATGTCTTTACTAGCATGACCAATGCTACTTGCAAATTCCCATCTTAATCCTAATTTATATAAATTCTTGGCATTATGGCCGTTTGTTTAGTAATTAAGGATCATGACCTTTTAATAATTGTGTGAAACACTTTCTTACTCTTCCCCTTTCAGTTTGTTGTGTAAGTCCATTTATTTTTCTTATATTTCCATGTGTAGCTAGTGAGTGAACCTAAAACTCATAGTAAGCTCTTTACATGGTAGGATGTGCATTATTTTTTGTTTGAACTTTGAAGTAGTTGTCTAACAATCCATCCATGCATATTATGTTTTAGAATTTATTGCGCGTCATAGAATGATTATTTGAGTGCCATTTCTATTATTTGTTCTACACAAGTAGTTTTGGTAGTCTGTAGTTGCTCATGGGTTGATGGCCTGGCTGACATGTATATATGATAGTTGTAGATAATAATGCTAATTGAGAATCTCATCATGTATCCTATGTGATAGGTCATAGGTAGAGCTCATTGGTGTCGAAATACCACAACTTATGTTGAAACTCCAATACTGAGTGATAAATGGGCTGGGGTAGAACTCATACCGATAAATTAGCACCACTATAATGGAGCCATAGAGACATGTATCTCGTGTATGTGTATGGTTGCATCTGTTGTAAAATTTGTCCTTAATTGGTGTTCTAGGCTTCTATTTGGAAAATTGTTGTGGCCTGTGTTACTATTAAGAATTCCCTGTTTTTTTCTTTTCTTTCCCACCCTTTTATTTGTTTCTTTTGTACAGTGCTTTCTGTAATCCAGTAGATATAGAAGAATTTACAGAAGAGAAGAAAGTTTCCTTGTTGGGAAAACGACATGGGAAAGGTGCAGATTTTGTTCGCGCAGTAAATGAGATAATCGAACATTTTGAGAATTTGAAGAAACAGGAACAAGTTAGTGGGGCTAATGGTACTGAGGAGACTGATATCATAAATGAGAACTCGCAAGAATCTGTAGTTGCATCTAGGAAGGATGAGGCTCCTTTAGTTAAGGTTGATCCTCTTTCTGCTGGGACCACTAATGATCTGGATTCTCTAACTGAAGCTGCTGTAGCTGCTGCCACGGATGATGCTTTTGAGAATGAAGACATGCAAAACTTGGTTTTTACGGATATTCCAGTGTCAACTCCTTATTTAACAAGACACAGAACGGATGTTTCCCGGTCACAAAACAGTGGCTCAACAAAGAAGAAACCTGCCAGAAGGTTAAGAAGTTCTTCAAGGATAGATAGCAGGCTCCGGAGTACAAGTTTGCCTTCTGTTAATAAGAACAGGAACTCGAGGCGCTTCTGTGTTAGTGCATCAGAAGATAGATCTGTAAAAAGAAGTAGAAAAATTGTCAAGTCGTCTGATGAGTCTGATGGACAGAATGTCGACTCACTTGCTTTTGTAGTGAATGATTGCATTGAAGAGAATAATTCTGGACTGATGAGTCTGAACTCAGATACACTTAGTATCGATGATGGCAGCACTGTCGACTCAGTTAGCAAACCATTAGGAGTGCGGGAGCCCGCTGCTGAAAATAATGAAGGTGAAACAGAGTTAAGTGATAGGCTTGACTTTCAAAGTAACAATGTGGTTAAGAAGAAGAGGAAGCCTAATCGGAAAAGACACAACACTCATACAGTTGACACAGCTACCCTCAATAGAGTGGCTTCAGATGCTGAAGAGCTCAAAATTGGACTTTCTTCACCCAGTTTTGGGGAGAAGCCGGCCCAAAAACAGGCTAAGGATGATGGCGATGAACATTTGCCATTAGTCAAAAGAGCCAGAGTTCGAATGGGCATACCATCACCGTCAGCTGAGAAAGAATTCCCTTCAGTGAATAAAGAGGAACATATGCCTGAAGCTCCTGAAAGACATTGTGTGCAATCATCCGAGTCCTTGAGTTGCAAGGTGAATGGTCATGCCAAGGTGAAAGACCATGCTAACAAGGAATCTGTTCCTGTTAAGGAGGAACCATCTCTTTCATCTGTATCCCATGTAAGTCCTGCTAGTAGGCCGAGCTTTTGGGAAACAAGAAAGGATTTTCTGGATGGGGAAGCGGCTTTACCTCCGTCTAAACGTCTTCATCGTGCCTTGGAGGCCATGTCTGCCAATGTGGCTGAAGGTTGTCAAAGAAATTTGAATTATTCAGTAGCAGCAGATATTCAGAGCAATGGGTACTGTGATACCTTGGAATGCTATGAGATGGCTGAGGTAAAGAAAGATATGATTGAATTAGGATCTGGAGGTATGGATGATACAAGGAATTGTGATTCTCTGTTGAGTGCTCCCGAGTCATGCATTGCGTCGGATGTAGGAGGGTCAGGAATTGGTGCAGAAATTACTGAGGTTGTATCGGACTGTGGTAAAGCTAATATTACTGAGAGCCAGAATCCTATATTTTGCCTAGGTGCATCTGGACAAGTGGAAGGTGGTGATGATATCAAAGTTCCAAAAAAAATTCCGTTTGTTGAGGCCCCTGCAGAGATTAACCCTGTTGTTGAGGATCATCTGAAAATGGAAACAGAAAATGCCGGTGAGCAGGCTAATTTAAATTGCAATGCCCCAAGTGCGGTGATGTCCCCAACTGACCACTGGACGACCAGATGCACAGAATTGAAAGAAGCTGTTAAGGGATCTGATGCCGATATTGTGCAGATACAGACAGATTCAACCTCCATGCAAGATATTGCTGTTAGTTTACCTAGTATTGACACCTGTAATCGTCCAGATGACGAAGGTGGTGAGGCACAGAAGACAGAGGACCTTGCATCAGTTGAGCATAATCCAGACAGTAAGATGTAAGAATATTTTAATGAATATGTTGCTTTTTTTTTTCCTTCTCTCAATATGCAACTTGCCTTAACTTGCTTCTGTATTCATGATTTCAGGTCTGAACGTGTGGAAGAAGCTAGACCATCATTGAATTCGAATGTTGTGCACCCCGTTACTCCTGTGAAGGTTTTGAATAGTGGGCATGGTCAATCTTTAGTTCATTCAACTTCCGTTTCCTATGAACATATTGAGGATAGAACTGTTTCAGCGACTCAGTCATCTTCATCTCCGACTGATGGGCCAGAATCTGTTGCAACAACATCTCCACCTAGTTTCCCCGTCTGCAACACATCTGCTTTAGATAATAAGAGATCTCTTGTAAATAATAGCTCCTCCTATCCTGATGTTCATTTACATCTAGAAAAAGCTAAACTTGCTGGAAAGTCCATCAGCAAAAGTGAAGTTCTGTCGTCCTTTGAGACCATCATCAAATCTTTGACCCGAACAAAAGAGAGCATAGGCCGAGCTACGCGTATTGCAATTGACTGTGCCAAATTTGGCTTTGCAACTAAGGTAGACTTCTTTCATTAAGATGTTTGTGGCCCCAAATATTTTGGAACTTTTACTTTGTTTGAATGACTTTTTTCTTAAGAACCATATGATGTTAGCAAAGTTATTTTTTCATCATATTTAATTGTAATTTTCTATTTGCATATTGTGACAAACCATATCTATCTGTCAAACATTATTTATTCGGTCTGAACATCTTATTTTATTCTTAAGAATGTTATTCGTGCCGCTTTGATAATCGGCATTTGTTCAGTGATATCTAATTTTCAAGTATGTAAATTACCTTGTGTGCCTTTCGCTGTAAGCTGTATCTTTACCTGGTATCTGCTTACCATTTTCTATTTGTTATTTTTTTATGGGTATATAAAATTCTTTTGAAGAGGGTTACACTTGCATTGTTACTAAATATATATGTTTATTATAAGAATGTCTACACTGCTGCTATTCTATGAGAAAATGTAGAAGTGTTTATATTAGGGTGATTCACATTATAATATTGGTGCTCTTTTTAGTCTCAAGTTGGAGACTCTGGTTGATCTCTGATCATATGTTTTTTGCTGTCTTTATGGTTATAGTTCTAGTTTGGTACAGCCACTACTGATTGATGTGAAGGATATCGTGCTTGATGTAATTGGTTTATTTTTCACCCTATGTCACCATCACATGTCCCCACTCAAGATTTTTTCCTTATATAGCTCATGATCCTGAAGGATACTATATGATTGATGTTAGTATCGGCTATAATGTTCTATTGTACGTATTTCTCTAGGTGGTGGAAATACTGGCGCATAATTTGGAAAGTGAGACAAGTTTGCCCAGAAAAGTTGACTTATTTTTCCTTGTTGATTCTATCACTCAATGCTCTCGAGGCATTAAAGGTAACTGGAGCCTTAGTTTGTCGATGCTTTTATCATTTCGTATGACCTCTACGTACTCAATTTTTTGACATTTCTGTTGAAATTGATCGATTATTTAGGGGATGGTGGCGTATATCCATCAGCTATCCAGGCACTCTTGCCCCGTCTATTGTTAGCTGCTGCCCCTCCTGGGAGTAGTTCCCATGAGAATCATAGGCAGTGTTTGAAAGTGAGTGAAAATGGTGCTTCCCTTCATTCTTATGTTTTAAGCTTTCTCGTGATTTTGTATTCTGTTTCAAAAGAACATGGTATTAATATAATCTGTATTGGTGAACAGGTTTTGAAAGTATGGCAGGAGAGAAAGATTCTTCCAGAACCGATAATCCGCCACCACATCCGGGAGCTTGATGCTCTTTGCGGCTCATTTCCTACTATTGGCTCTAACCGAACCTTGAGAAATGAAAGAGCTTTTGATGATCCTGTCAGAGATATGGACGGAATGTTGGTGGATGAGTATGGAAGGTACTTTATTTTTTCTTTTCTATCAATCGAAAAAAAATATTCCTTTTCTATTTGTTTGATTCGTTATCATTGGCCATCACTTACGAGTCACAACCTTTTCTTTTAGCAACTCGAGCATTCAGCTTCCTGGTTTCTGCATGCCTCGTATGGTGGGGGTTGATTGTGCCGGAAATGATTCTGACGATGAGAGCTTTGAGGCCGTCACACCAGAGCACAATGTTGATAATCACGAGGTAGAAAAGAATTTAATTCCTACAGCCGAAAAGCATCGGCATATATTGGAAGATGTCGATGGCGAGCTTGAAATGGAGGATGTGGCTCCCTGCTGTGAAGATGAAATTGTTTCGACCAGTAGTTTTGGTGGACTTGATCAAGCACAAATGTCCCATCACCAACCTAAGAATGTACCTTTGGCATCTGTCCCCTTGTCGAGGTCTTCTTTGCCCCCGCCGCCGCCACCTCATCCACTTCCGCCTTCTGCTTTTCCTCCTGTGTTGCCTAATTCTGTTACAAACGGCCCTGACTCGAAGCCTTATTCAAGTTCTCAGGTTTTTTTCTATACTAGCTTCTTACAACCATTCTCGCTAGTATAACTGCTGCCATGGTTAATTTTTTTTATGTGATGTATTTTGACCTGCAGAAGTATAACGGCAATTTGCGAGATCCCATGAATGTGGATGCTGTTCATCACCGTGTTCGTGGAAACAAGGATTATGAAGCCGAGGTTCCTAGACACATGCCAGATAATGGTTGTTTTAGCGATCGACCAACATCTCGATTTTCTGGTAGAGCTTCTGGCAGCGACCAGCCCAATGATGGATTTGGCAAGAGTTTCTATTTACGCCCTCCTCACCCTGCCCCTTCAAATCAGTTCTCGTATGTCCAAGAACAACAGCGGGGGCAATCACGGAGGGATGCCCCACCGCCTTCCCGGCAGAACAGATTCCATTCGCGTAATACGGATAATGGAAACTTCTATAGGGATCGTGACAGAAATAAGTTTGTCCAGCGTGATAATATCGGGGAGGGATGGAGGCCTCCATATCCATCCACCATCTCGGGTAATTATCCTTTTTTTACTTTGATAAAGAACTTCAGCTTTCTTGTAAAATTATAAATTCTCTCACGAGATGTGTATTCATGTTGTGAAAAAGAGCTAAAAAAAAAAAAAACGTATTTGTACTTTCGAAACACTTAATATTTTTTATTTGAAAAATTACGTTTCTGGTTTGGTTGGTTTGACCTCAGGTAATTTTAGGGATTAACAGGTTTTAGTATGGATCTTATAAATCATAATAAGAGTGTTCCTTATTATCTTCAGGTCCATGCTATCCTGATGGCTCAAGGATGGCTAATGCGCCCACGTCGTATGACCCACCTAGAGAGCCACCAGGACCACACCATAGGTGGAATTACCCTTCACGGCCCATGAACCACAGACATTACAATCCTTACAGGCCACCTTCTGAAGGTCCTATACCTGTGGCAAACAGAGGTGCACTTCTATCTTTTTAGGGAGATGAAATGCTTGGATACAAATATCTCCGAAAAAATCCAATCATTTTTAACCAATCAATTTTTTTTTTAACTTAACTACACGATCCTCAATATTATCAATATAATTAAATAATACCACTCAATCATTGTGTAATCTTACACGTTACATCAACTTTAATTCACTAATCAACTTTAATTCATTATTCATCCACTCACATAGTTTTAACTAACCATCACTTCACATCACCTCTCTTTTACTTTTACATCAAATTAACTTGAATTATTTTATTTTAAATACTATTTTAATATAAACTCAAAATCCCACTAACAACTAACCATACTACTTTTTTCAAAATTAATCATACCAAACCAAAAAATCCAAACAAAACCAAAAAAATTTATATCCAAGCATTAAAAGATTTGCAATTTGTGATCACTTGCAGTTGGGTCAAAGGCTTGTTAAATATTATGGGACACAATCATGTGAGGAGTTACCTTGAAAGTTTTAGTTCTTCTTAGCAAATATATGTTGTGATATTTCTAGCTAACATGATACAGCAATTCAAGATGAAATTTAGTGAAAGTTTGGCCTAAGAAGCAAACTAGCCCAGTTAACCATTCAGCTGTATATTATTCCAGTTAACCTCTCTGCGATAAATCTGAGCTGCAGTAATAGCATTAGCCAGTTTCTGCAAAATTTGTCGACCTGTGTTACTCCTTCGAATGTTTTAATTGTTTTTTTTTTGTTGTTTCAGGCCCTAACTATTGGAGGCCAAGATGACGAGTCTCTAGCATCTTTGTCAAAATGGTATTATTGGGCAACACCCTGTTGTGTGTTCTTTACATTGAGGGTTTATATACCATTTATGTTTAGTCTTATCACATGAAAGCCAGCTATCTTTTGCAGTTACAACTTACAAGTACCGTACCCTCTTCATATTTGTTTCCATTTAACCATAAGCACTTTGAGGGCGCATATTTGTAATTTTAAACGGTAGCTGTGTTTTCAGTGATCATCAGGCTTGACCCCAATAATAGATTTGTGTTTTCTGAAAAATATCTTCGGGCCTTCTGAAATGAGATTTATACTATCCACTTTACATGCATACATTTGCTTATTCACTTCTATCGTTTGTTAGGTTGCTTGTTCATCAGGTGTTGTATCTCGCCTTGAGAAATTCTTCTTATGGCTGACTGCTAGATCTCGAAAGATATCATAGTTGGTGTGGAAGATCAGATATGATTTTCATTCCATTGTACATATGCATGTAGATGTACTTTATGCAGTTGCCAAATGGACATAAGATGCTTTGGGACCTTTCGGTGGGAAAACTCCACGTTACCCACTTGGCCGTTAGCATCTGTAGTTTAATTTACAAAATTCTTGAAATTTTGATGACTGTAACTATATGTTATTTATTTACCTTTAGGTTGTGTATGATATGTACCCTATTTTCTCTCAGGCTCCTTTGTAAAATTGTTGACTATCCCTGTATATTTCGAATGATTTTCAACATCCCTAGCTGATCATGATTATTTATACTGAAAGATGAGTCTGTATAATCATTATCCATAAATTATTTATGTAATTGCATGATTTATAGTGCTTGTTGAATTCATTTGTTGGTTCTTGTTATCTATGACGAGTTTTTGATTTTGGGTCTTGTGTGGTTTGTTTCTGAACTGGTCGAAAGAGTGATGCGAAGCTTTATGGTCATTTGTGGACTAAAGCCCTTTATTCCATAGATGTGTTTGTGTGGAATTACTCTTCATATGTTCCATAGGTATGAATTTGGTTTATGGTCGTTAATGGACTAAAGTCCTTTATTCTATAGACGTGTGTTTAGAGTTACTCTTCATATAGCATCATGAGTTTGGTTTGTCTTAGTTTGAGTTTGATTCATTAATATTTAATAAGCAAGCTAAGTCGAGTTTGTACTAATGAGGTGCTGCTCAAGTTTGATGCTTCAAGGAGTTGAGGCGAATAACACGGAGGTTGAGAAAGCAACACTTGCACTCATCTCGACTGCTGGGAAGTTGCTACATTATTTCTTGTCGCATGAGGTCATTGTCCTTATAAATTAGGGAATTTTTTTTTTTTTTTTACCTCCCAAAGTATGCAGTTTTTTTTTTTTTTTTTGAGTTTGCCATATAAACTATTTTTGTTGGCACATTATCTCCCAATCTAATCGAAACTAACATATTGCCTCCTAATACACGTTTCCGGCCAAATTTTGCATTGGAGAAAGCACTTGTTCGGCACATGTGAGGGTAAAATTGTCCTTTCACGTAATTTTTTTAATACAAAACGCCAAATTGAGGAAATCGACATCATTTTACCCTAATTCTGCTATTCATTTTCAAAAAAATTTTCCTTTTCCAAAACAATTTTATATCTGGGTTGAGTTTTAGGAGATATGAAAAAAAAAAAGTTTGGGAGATATGTGGAAGAAAGTATATTATTGAATAATAATGGTGTGAGATATTGTGGTTGATTTTTAAGAGTTGTGGAATGTTTTATTTGTGTAATTGTATTTAATTAATTAAATATTAAATTGGTTTAAATATATTACTAATTTGACATAAAAATATCAAATAAAGTGTTTTTTTAGGTAAATATTAGTTATTAATTAAAATAAAAAAAAATGAGATGAATATTAGTGTATTACTAATTTGTCATTAAACATATGTCAAAATAAGGGTGTTTTTAAATATTAAATAGGTTTTAATATATTATTAATCTGACATAAAAAAATATATTAAATAAAGTGTTTTTTATGTAAATATTAGTTTTTAACAAAAAATATAAGATGAGATGAATATTAGTGTATTAATAATTTACCACTACAAATATGTCAAAAAGGGTGTTTTAGGCAACTCATATTTTTACAAAAACACTCATCTTTTTATAGTAGTATATATATATATATAATATAAACTATAAATAATAATAATAAATATAGATATAGATAGATATAGATATAAATATAGATATAAATAATACCAATCCATTGACACCGTTAGACGGTAGCTCCTTTGAGCCTTTCTGAGATAGTTTATCAAGGTCCATATCTGTCTATGTAATTTGCTATTAGCTATAATAACTAAATATTTTTTCTAATAAAAGATTTTTCTTGCATGATACATATTTCTAATAAAAGTTTATCAAGATTTTTCTTGCATGATATATATATATATGTATGCAGTGCATTTCAAATTGCAAAGGAAAGGGCTCTAGCTAGTGCTCTAATCCTTGAGTTCCTGAAAATCAAAATCCTTTCTTAAGTTTGTTCTTTATCTTTACATTGAACTTTTTAATTGTTGACTTTTGTAATTGCGAATTTTCATCTTTATTTCGAAACAATTTTCCTTCAACTTTAGGCCATAATTTTCATTTTTTGCTGACATTTTTTTGCTAATATTTACAAAAATTGTTTATTTGTGTAATAAAAACCTAAATGTCTAGTGTAGGGGGTGTTTTTCTCTTTTATATATGGTGCATTGTGAATGTGGAGATTAGGTGAAAGAAGTGAACAAAAATTGAACAACATAGATTTCACTTCTTAAGAATTCTCTAAATTATAATAGAATATGTAAAAGCGAGTTTACAAATTCTAGAAAGATATAATATAGC